CTCAGAAAATGAATAGAGAACCGCAACCTATTGCAATCACTCCTTAATAAACACTAAAGCTTTGAGACATAGAATGTTAGTAAATTCCTTTTGAGAAGCGTAAAAACAATAAACGTTATTAGAAAAAATATCAGTCTGATTAAAGAAAAACGTACGTAGAGAGACGAAACGTAACAATATCATACATCTATATACAAAAAAGGCACACTTGTATATACATTCATACACCTGTTTTGAATAATAAATTATATTTAAAATTGTGTCTCTTTTTGTACATCCGTATAGCTTATTAAAACTCAATTAAATGCAGAAAACTTGTTTTATAATTGAATTTTTGTTTTGATTGAAAAAAATCCAAACAAATCATATCTGATTTGTGTATAGCATAAAAAGAGGATGAAAATAGAATATTTTATTTTCCATACTGACTGAAAACAAATGAAATATTTGTCATTTTTAGTCTGTGGAATAGAGAGTACACGTAGATTCTTTCAAATTTTTGCATAAAACAAACGCACATAAAACCAAGCAGAATTTTTGATATCTCAGACCGTTTCAGAGATATTTGCATGTCACATTTTTCGCGCGGGTCCGAAATACATAAATCAATCCAATCTGTTATGTCACGATATTAAAGAGGCACAAGCTGTTACCCATGGATGAAAGAGCTTTCGATAAATTAATGTGCGTTACGTAATTGCAATATGCAGTATACATATATGGATATATGATATTGCGGATAATAATTAAATATTATGTTGTAAATTTGCAATGCAGAAATGTAATAACCCAGTATGATTCGATCAAAAAAATGTTTGCCTTACTAAACAGAAAACACACAGAAAGTGAGAAAGAGAGAGAGAGAGAGAGAGAGAGGAATAAAATATACTTGTATGCAATGTAGAGATGACTGCTAAAACTTAACGAGAAAAATTAATGAAATAAAAATAAACGAAATCAATGGAGAAACATTAAATTAAAAGCAGATACAAACTCAAAGGAATTATCAGATATCGAAATATGAAATGATACTCAATATAAATCCGTATCAGGAAGGAAATCAAATATATTATATATAAAAGATATTTAATATAAAAATATATATTTAATCCAACAAAGATATTTAATATAAAACAGATAAAATATATATCAAGTTGCAGTTATATTTTTGAACATATATAATAGTGCCTTCTCAGAAAGGCTCTGAAAGTTTTTGAAATCCATTTTGTAACAGTGACATATAAATCGTTTATTTTGAAAGTGTTGTAAGTTTAGCTCTGAAACATTATGAGTTTCAGAAATACAGACATAAACTGATACCTGCTATTATCGATTTTACCAAAGTTTCTGAGACTGGATTTCCACCAGTTTACAAACCAGGAAATACAATCTCGAGTCGAACGAAGGAGAGTTTTACGCAGTTTTTAATTTGTAGAGGAGATGATATACTCGGGGAAAAAAAATATAAATATAATAGCGTACGCTGTCGTGCAAAAATATATGTAATTAAATAAATTTATTATCTACGGGAAAGTTTTTCTTATATTCCATTATAATTGTATTGTAATATTATATATTGTTATATGATTTAAAATATAATAATAATAAAAGACTCACTATAAAGAATAATTTCGTATCTGTTACATTGATATTTAAAATGAGAAAGATTCAGTTACTTTATTACAATAACTTTTTAGTAAATGTCACCAATCAGTGTCGCTATCGATTTTTTTCAACTGAGGCTCAATCAATCATTTAATTAATAGATTTTCTCTACAAGTTCACGAACGCTATTGTGCATAAGCGTTGTCGGGAGAAATTTAATTAGAATAACATTTTTCCGGGCCCTGCACATAACAGGCGATCAATTATGACAGTCCGAGAGGAGGAGTGTCGGTTATCACGGAGAAGGGCGAAGTAACGACGTCATACCTTTTAATTCAACGTGCTCAACCGGCGGATAGCGGACAATACACCTGCCATCCGAGTAACGCCAACACAAAGACAGTCTTAGTTCATGTACTTAATGGTATGTATACTTCTTAATCTTATAACGCAGCTGCTGTTATAACGTTTGTACAGCAGCTTAATATACCTGATGGTTATTTCTATGCGTTATTCAGATCCGACTATTCGGAGTATATTGCGAAAAAAAATACATATTTTTTCGCAAAACTCTTGTATTACTTAAAAAAAAAAAAAAAAAAAAGAAAGAAAAAAGAAGATTAATCTTTTGATTCTTGCAGGGGAACATCCGGCTGCGATGCAACACGGCGGACAGCTAAGATTAGCCAATCTACCTTTTGTAATGATCTCGACGACGCTTCTGACCTTTTGAATCATCCTTATTAGACGTAGAAGTGGACCATTATAAATGTTAGTTGGAAATATTTTTTTCGAATTTTTTTTCGTTTTTTTTTTTTATTATTTGATTCTCGAGAAAAGGCAGTATGACTATCTATCGTTGAATATTCTGCGGAAAAAAATTCGTATGAATAACAGATCGATAAAATAAACTGCACGTTCGAGTCTTTTTACGATACAACGCATGACTTATATTTGTTTTAATATATTGTATGTTTGAATACATACATATATATATATATATGTATGTATGTAGTGTTGTTACGTATATATGTATATCATACATATACATCATTCTTTATCATTTATTGTTCAAATATTTTCAAATTGAATAGTTTTTAGTAGTAATATATTTTTCAATTAAATTTTTCCTATTTTTTTATATTGAATAATATTCTTTATAGACTTATAAACGTTATCTGTATTATCTACGTCAATAAGAGCGTACCTCGCAAAAATCTATAGATGAATATATAATAGACCGAAAAAAGTTGTACCTTGGAAAACTGAAGGCATATTAAATTTCTATTAAAAGAAATAAAGTGGGGATAACGATAAATCCTCGAAAATAAATGACAGAACGATTTCTTACAAGAAAATGTGAAAATGGGGAAGCAGATTTTCGTTGCTGCTAAAACATCGTCAGAATGTACGATCTGAGTACGACTGAGCGAAGACAGGGTAACGAAAATCGGATATATTTGTAAAAATAATTGTCGATTATTTAATTTGAAAGGCTCATATCCGAGCAGCAGGTATAATGTTACATTTGCTTTATCATGGTTTACAAGACAATACGTTATGCTTGCCAAAAAAAACGTGTACATGTTACTGTTAATAAACATATTAGACATTTTAACATAGAGATATGTTAAAATCTATCATTATGTTGCGAGGACACATACGAGAATATATATACATATAAAGTACGAGATGTAAAACTGCGCTAAAATATGAACGTATACTAAATAATGCATGACTGAGCATGTCACATAAAAATAATGGGGTCATTCGCATAAAATTTTGAAAAAACAATGATTATCTTCGATACAAAAGATTTTGATAAATCTGTTTTGTATTTTGTTTTAAATTTATAATTTAAAAAAATTCATTTCAATAACTATCAAATATGATTTGTACTACAATCATGTCAAAATTCTATCGAGTCGACAGACATATATTCACTCTGATAATACCTCATTTTATATTAAACAATCATTTGATAAAATTTTCATCACTTGAAACGACTGTTGTAAAGTTCTAATGCAAAAGGCGATAAGTAAAATATAAAAAATCATAATTATATAATTTTTTAAATCGATTGTGAGTATATAATTATGACGTTTGAGATTATCAATTACAGAATAAGAAAATTTGGCCCTGTTTGCTGTGTACGATATCATATATTGTACGAGCATCGACATGTAATATATCTTCACATATACTTTATGTAATGTTATGTATATACATATATACGTTATGAATATATAATACGTTGTACATGCGAAACAACAAACCATAAAGTCTGGATAATTATTTAAGAAGAAACACAAAGCTGTTTGGTTTTTATAATGTTAGATTATATATATTGAAAAGTTTTAATTGTTTGTATAAAACGAGTTATACAAATAAACGGTTTGAGATTTACAGCACTTTGTCCTCAGGATATGCCTGTATACCGTTGTTGCCATACAAATTACGATTAGAACGTCAGTGTGTCGCGCATTTCTATATTTCAACTATTCGAATTTATATGAACAATTTGAAACAGTCATGTTTATTTCTTAATTTGACGAGTCTAGATAATAGCCAATTGTTATTTCGTGCAAATAAATCTATTATGATTAAACCATACGTATCAATCGTGTGTCATTTAAAGTATACATTGCCGTTTTCTTCTAATTTCGTGCATAAATGACATTATATATTTTTAAGGATTAAAGAGAGGTTTTATAGATTTATTGATATTAAATTCAATTTCAAATAACTAACAGATGGAATATGTAAAAATTAAAATTTTATATTTTGATTGGAGAATAAATATAAATGCTAATATATATATATATATATATATATATATATATACATTACATCAGTGTTTCACGCGTGCACTTTTTAGGAATTACGGACTGTTAATGAATTTAAGAGAGAAGTTAATATTTTCTTGGCTAAAATATTTTATTTGTATTTGTGCATTTTTTAATTAAGGATTATCCGGCGTCACAAAATTAAAGTTCTATCAAAATAAAGCGTATATATATTGTTACACAAAATAAACAGATTTATAATAAGATTTTAAATCAAAGAATTTGAAATCAATGCTGAAATTTCTCTTTTATATAATACAAATTCATTTTTTTCTATATATACATATATGTAACTGGGATAGAAAATACGCGTTGATTGAAACATTCTATAAAATATTAAAAAAAAAAACTTTTTTAACTGCATTTGTATGGCTTTCATATATTACTTATAAATGTGCTTTTTAGTTTTAGTACACAATTTATTGAGTTTAAATAATAAAAAAATCGAAATAATTGAAATACTTGAAATAATTGATTTATATCAACTCTTTAATTAAACAATGGATATAGCAATATATTCTTATATGACGAATATCTTTTTGTAACGGTTCACACAGTTTGTAATGGATCTTTGTCTGTTTTAGATATACACACTTTGACAGATTTTTGTGCAGATTTTTGTACAGCACAATCTAATATCGTAGCAAATGTCTTCAAGAAACCACGTTCCGAATCAGAGTGATTCGTTAATATAACATGGATTCCGCGATGTACGGCATCTAATATATCGTGATGTAACATTTCACCCGTAACATACAAATCTGCAGGAACTTCTTTCAATACTGAAACGCCTGATCCAGCACATAATGCTATAGTATTAATATAACCATCTAAAATATAAATATAAAATAGTATATATATATATATATATATATATATATATATACACACACTTTTGTCATTTATTATTTTACTAAAACTCACCTGCACCGCGTGCACGCGCTAATCTTACATGTTTCAGATCTGTACGTTGCTTTATTAAATTCACTGCTTGGTCGATAGATATCTGCGTCTTCAAGGTACACAATCTTCCCATTCCGTAAGTCGCATTATCCACATTTGGCTGAATCGGTTTATTGCTCTCAAGCTCTTAAAATAATATTTTCATAAGCAATAAGATATTAACATAGATCAATTAATATTAAACCGATTCAGATACTATAATAAATTTCTTTTCTTACCGAAAGCTTCCGCTAACCAGTCATTTACACCGCCTTTTACAGAATCAAAACTGGTATGTGGAGAGAAGACAGCAATTTTATTTTCCAGACATTTCGCCACTATTCGCTCCTATTATATATAATACATAATATAAATTAAAAATCGCAATAATTTTCTAATAATTTCATGGTGATGATATTTTACAGTACCTTCCAAGATCGAGTTGTAATAGACTTCAATGGAGTAAATATTAACGGATGATACGTGATAATTAAATCAGTTTTTAGTCCAATGGCTTCATCCATAACATCCTCGGTTAAATCATTTGTCAGTAAAATGCTCGACACATTTTTGGGTTCCGTGGGTTCAATCAATAATCCGATATTGTCCCAGGAAGCTGCGAGTGAGTTGTCCGCAAATGCATTTATTACGCTCACAATCTCCTTCAAAGGTACGCCAATTGTATTTTCTGCGATGTTACTCATCATTTTATATTGTTTGATATATTTGTACTCTTTAATACATCTATATCGCAAATGAAAATTGTTGCAGAATAATCCCACGTTGTATAAGCGCGTTAACATTTATGTGCCCTAAAATAAAGATGCAATTGTAACTGATATGATTTATAATATATTCGAAAATAATGTATCAAGGCATAAAATATAATAGTCAGTTATTTAAATTCATTGTTTATTTACAGAGTTTGTTAACAAAAATGTAAAGATATTGATTTCTCTCATATTTTGGCATGAAAAAATTAATTTCCATTTTCATAATTTATTATCCACTATTCTTAAGTCTCTTTATTTAAATGAAAAAAAAAAATAAAAATAAAATTGCATAAACTATATTTTTACAGTTTTATTCTTTGTGGTTGTAAGACCATATTTTCACTAAACTATCATCACTCGCAGAAGCAAATTGTCCAGGGACTGTAGGATTCCATTGAACACAGTTAACATCTTGAGCATGTGCATTGTCCATTGAACAGATCATTGTAAAATTTGGTTGATGTGAATCACAGTCATTATCCTCCTTAAATATCCTAATTATGTCGTCGCCACATGCCGTCACTAATAAACCTGTAGTCTTGCACCAGTCGATGTCGTAAATAGTTCTTGTATGATAGCCTGATAGTGTACAAATACATTTCCAGACAGATTCGTTGTTCGGTGTAGGAATGCCTGTTTCGTTTCCTGGTTTATATTCTCGCCATATCTTTACCGTTTTATCATCACTGCAGGTTGCTATTCGATTACCAGTTTTATCCCATGAAAGACTCCATACTGTAGAACTGTGAGATGATAAGGTTGAGACACACGACCAGTCACTATCAGCTGCATCTTCTTTAAATATCTTCACTGTATTATCATAGCTGGCAGAAGCCAAAATTTCTTCATGTGGATGCCATCTTACCTAAAATAAACGTATACTCTTGTTATATATAAGAAATATAAATATTTCTATTTATATATCAATAAAAAGTTTAAATTGATATTTTCTTAATTAAATCTTAGAAAAATAAAAATCTATGTTTAAACCATAATTTTTCTTTTTCAGAAAAACAGAGACATACCTTTTTACATCTTGAGTATGAGCATTAATAACAGCGGCACACTCGTATTCATCATCGTTCACTTCCCATACCCACACTGATTTGTCACGACTACATGTGGCGAGTATTTGACCAGAGATTGACCAACTAACGCTCTTCACTTCGTTTTCATGCCCTTCTAATGTCGCGTTACATTCAAACTGTCCTGATTTTTATCCCATATCGCTGTAGTGGCATCAAAGCTTGCGGATGCAATGTAATTACCACAGGGGGACCAAGCTAATTCTCTAATGGTTCTAGAATGTCCTTCGGTGAGGATCATTTTGTAACCCATTTAAGCCCCTCTAATCCCGAAATTATAATTTTTTTATCTTCGCCGCAAGAAGCTAAATAAGCACCCTTAGGGTGCCAGCAAACACTCCATACTCTGCCTCTGTGTCCAGTTAGGCTTTGCTTTAGTTCCAATGTATCCATTGCTACCTGCAACAGCATAATTTATTTTTACATGGAAAACGATATTTGTTAGGATTACTTTATGGACAATATTTATAATAAAAATTCATATATATCTTTAATGCATGAATAAAATATAATTTGTAAATACAAAATATATAAAAATTTGAAAAATGTTTTTAAGCATGTAAGGTATTAAATATGATTTGTTAGGATACATTGGAACTAAGCAGCATAGTATATGACTCATATCACAAATACATGAAATATTTATTTTTCCAGTTTTTCCAGTTAACCTTCACATATATTATATATAAAATATATGCAGATATGTAAAACTTGTCTTTATAACGTAATGATAATGAGTGTAAATATAGAATCAAAGTTTGTTATATAATACATAAAATTAATTAATACTACTCAATTAAAATTATAGTTTTATTCCAGATAATAATAAGATGAAAGAAGTGTGGTAAACTCACCGTTGCACAGTCTTTATCAATGCTGTAGATATTTTAACGAATTGCTAGTCACTAATATTTGTATATGTGTAAATTACAGTTGTTAATATGTAATGCAAAAGAATGTAAATTATTTGTAAAAATATAACAACGATAACGATGCAATCTCTGTGGGGTTAGCTGTTGATTTTACCGATAGAGAAATGTAGTTTAATGAACAAACTGTCAAAAGTGATGACAGATGGCGCGATTGACAGTTCAATTCGCGCCATTTTCGTCGCATATTTCCGCTTTAGTTTTACATGGAATGTTTCGCAAGACGCACCTCACAGAATATTCTTTTCATTTTAGAATCTAGTTCTTCTTAGCAATGGGAAGAGCTCATTTTTTTGTAAGTTTTCATATCTTCTCTTTCAATTGCTTGTAACTCTGAAACTAATTCATACCTCATTATGTGTCATTTTTGTTAAAGAAATCTCATCATCTCATCGTTAATAAATGGCTCCGAGCACTGAAATATTAAAATATCCTGCCATTTCCTAGTTATTATTGAAATAGATAATATTCAATTATATTTTATTTCTTAAAAATATAATAAAAATAATAACAAATTGAAAACGAACTCCATTTTTATATGCATTATTACATGCATAAAATAAGAAAATTAATTAATCGTAAAATAATTGCGATTTAATCATTATCTTTAGCAATCGTAAATCGTATATCATCGTGCGCATTTCACAACTTCACTTCGCGCTCGATATTAACCATATATATACATGTCATTAATCCAATAATTATATATATATACTCAAAGGCGCTGTTCGAATCAGCGAAGCGCGCAATCTCCGTGACGATGCAGGGAGTACATCATCATCATCATCATCATTATCTACCAAAATAAAGAGGAGGAGCGATAAAAGACAAGGTAAAAAAAAAATTATTTATGTCACTACATTAATTATATATATATATATATATATATATATATATATATATATATATATAATTTTACAGTTTAATTTAAAACATTATATCTTCATTATAAAAATAATTTTATTAATAAATATAAATTTTTGTTATATCTAAAAATAAAAAAAATAATCTATTTAGATTTTAAATATATAAATTAATATACATATATACGTCTTTCGAATCTTCGAGGTCTGTCTGCTGCCACGGTGCGGAGAGTAGCGAACTTATTCGCGATCGAGCGAGACCAGCGGCTGCTAACCAAGGATTGCAGTGAGAGACGAGAGAAAAGAAAGAAAGAGAGAGAGACGGAGAGCGACTCGCTCCTCGCTCAGTCGTCACATTCGCGTATATATACGGTGTATAACCACACGCCTACGTTACACATATACATGTAAGCGAGTCGAGTTCCGCGGGACAGTCGTGGCGAGGAGGCGGTCGACGGCAACGCGGTGACAGGACAGAGACGACGGGGTCGGCGACGACGAGTATCGGCCGCTAGCGGAGACGACAGACACGACCCGACCCGACCCGATCCGACACCTGCTCGACACGGGGCTCTACTCTCGCGGGAGGCGGTAAGCTGGATACGTACGGATACATATGCACGTAGGAATAAACGCGGATGGACAGAGAGAGCAGCGGAACGCGGCCATACTCAAACAACGGCCGAACGGAGAGATGAAGTGATAATAGAATCGAATCCGAGAGATCTCGCCGATTGAAGAAGGAGAGACTACGCGAGCTTCATCGAGTCGCGAGTCGGCGCGAGTGTCTCCGCTCCGCGATATATCGGTGCTCGGGAGAGCGAGCCAGCAGAGCAGCAACCAGCAGCAGCAGCGAGGAGAACCCGAAGAGAGAGAGAGAGAGAGAGAGGAGCGGCCGGAACGGGCGGAAGTGTGTGCGGGAAAAAGAGGAAAAGCCAGCGAGAGAAAGAGAGGAAGGATCCGGTAGTCCAACGAGATGAGCGCAAGACTGACGTGAACAGGCGAGTTTTGGCGATCCAGGCGAAGAAGAAGCGGCACAAGCCCAGCAAGCGCAAGGGCAAGGCCAATTCCCAGGGCGAGCAGGACTCGGCGCAGAGCTCGAAGGGGCCGAGGAGCGGCCAGGAACGGCCGCCGCCTCCATCAAGTACTTCGACGGCACCCTCGAGAAATTCAGCAACCGCGAGGAGCGCATCTACTGTGATCTCGGCGACCACAACGGGACCAGGTATCCCCCGATTCATGCGAGCCGACAACCGGCGTCAGCGTGGCATCTGACGTTAACACGCGTTCAAACTCGTTACCGGATTTTTTTTACCTCTTTCTTTCTTCCTTTTTTTTGCCCTTTTTTTTTTGTACAAGTGATGTTACGAACGATGACACACGTTACCGTTTACGCGCGCATGCACTTTTTCTATTACGGTATCGCGTACCTGTGTTAACGTCAGATGACAGGTTGTCGTTGAAGCGACTTTTTCGCCGACAGTTCGAACTTTCTTCTTCATTTCTTTATCGTTCGAAGGCTTTATCTCTGTTTATGGAAATTTTGAGAAACGAGCGATATTTTCATATCTTTTATGTATATTCGTAATCGCTGAAGATTGAATAACAATGATTGATGTTAAGATATGAATAACGTATAATGTGAAATAATTATGCATAATATTATAATTTCTTCATTTCTTTATCATTCAAAGTGTCTCTGTTTATGGAAATTTAAGAAATGAGCAGTATTTTCATATCTTTTATATATGTTCGTAACCACTGAAAATTGAATAACAATTGATGTAACGATATCTAAAGATATGAATAACAATTAATGTAAGTGAGATAATTATGCATGATAATTTCTTCAGCGATTATAAACAGTAATATTTATACTCTGAAATGATTGCATGTAATCTTGAAAATTTTGATGACAATAGGATGCGTCATGTAAAATCAAAGCAGTTATGTAACGTGCAACTGCTTCATCACTTTATTTCAGTGGCTTCCCTTTTCTCGTGAAAAGTTAATGGTTGCAAACACATGGTCGGTTGCATTTTACTTTGTGTTCATGATATATCGATACATTTGTCGTAGATTGGAACCGTGTCATAGTTCTAGCAATGAGACGATAGAAGATGATGACGAAGTATTCAGCAGCGAAGACGAGGAGCAGGAGGATAGCAGTGATTATTGTAAAGGTGGATACCATCCTGTGAAAATAGGAGATCTCTTTTTAAATCGATATCACGTTACCCGTAAGCTCGGTTGGGGTCACTTCTCCACTGTATGGCTCTGTTGGGATTTACAGGTATACTAATGAATTTGCTAATGAATCTCTTTTTACACCTACATAAAATACACAGGATATCTTGATGAATTTGATTCCACAGGATAAACGTTTTGTGGCGCTTAAAATCGTGAAATCCGCATCCCATTTTACTGAGACTGCGTTGGATGAAATTAAATTATTAAAAGACGTGCGCGATACAGATCCCACTGATCCTAAGCGCAATAAGACCGTCCAGTTGCTCAATGACTTCAAGATCAGCGGCATTAATGGTCTGCATGTTTGCATGGTATTCGAAGTGCTTGGACATAATCTTCTTAAATTGATTATTAAGTCAAATTATAGAGGTATTCCAAGGAATAATGTAAAACGCATCATCAGACAAGTCCTCGAAGGTCTCGATTATCTTCATAATAAATGTAAGATGATAATTTCAATTATATTGAAATTTATATATTTAGCTAACTTTACATAGAAGTTTAACAGAATATTATGGATTTGAAATGAAGAAAGAGTATGCTAAAAATTGCAATTTATAAATAATTTACTATTATATATAGTATATTGAATTTTCTTTCAGGTAAGATTATCCATACAGACATTAAACCTGAAAATGTTCTTGTATGCGTCGACGAGACTTATATACGAAAATTAGCTTGCGAAGCGACAGAATTGCATTCGATGGGAGCAAAGTTACCCGTGTCCCTGATTTCTACCGCACCGAAGGAATTCCAAGAACCCATACCAAATTCTAAAATGTCCAAGAACAAGAAGAAAAAATTAAAGAAGAAAGCCAAGCGCCAGAACGAACTCTTGAAGAAACAGATGGAACAGATTGAGGAATTAGAAGAGCAAAGTAAACTCGCGAATAACACGAGAGAGAACGGAGAGGTTGAAACGAATAGCCTAGATCAAGATCTTAATACGGAAAGCATAGAGGACAATACGGAGAGTAAAGGTTCGCCCGACATTTCGGAACCGTCCGCGCCTTCCTTACACATGAACGGAGTAGACGGTTTAGCGGGCGGCGAGAAAATACAGAGTCCGTCGCCCGAGCAAGAATCCGAAAAGATGGACAATGTGACTCTGTGCGATGTGGAGAAAAGCTGCGGCGAAGGTGTTCTACCACCGGATGCCGAGGATACTGATGAATGTAGCGAAAGTAAGTATAACGTTAAGCGAACACGTATATCTATAGCTTTGTTTCCTCCTGCATAATTTCGTTTGTCATCCGTCATTTTATTTTCTAGGCCGTAGGTCGTTTAATCCACCGGAGAGCAAGCAGTTGAAACGAACCTTCGTATCGCCATTGGATCCTGCCATAATGGAATGCGAGGTCGACGTGAAGATAGCGGATCTCGGAAACGCGTGTTGGGTTCATAAGAAATTCACGGATGACATTCAGACTCGTCAGTACAGGTCGCTTGAGGTTCTGTTAGGCTCCGGATATGATACCTCTGCTGATATATGGTCCACCGCTTGCATGGCGTTCGAATTGGCGACTGGCGATTACCTTTTTGAACCGCACAGTGGTAAAGATTACTGCAGGTAATGATTGCAAGAATAAGCAGTTGTATAAGCTTCCTAAAATTTTAATTTTCTGGATTCTCGCCGCGAGATCGTATTGGATTGTGACATCAGAGGCGAGATTGCACACGTTGAAAATTCTTTGACACCATTTTTAAATGAAAAGCTATTTTGGTGAAACATTATTTCAGATGGCTTTAGCACACTCGCAAATTTCTTTTTCTTTTAGAGTCAATGGGGAACAGTCGTAAGATGATCGTGATATCTAAGAATTTTTAGCGCGTGTTTTCTCACCTCTGACTTCACAATTCCAACATGGTCAAAAAGCATTTTTTATAATATATTATTTTAAAATCAATTATTATTTCAGAGATGAAGATCACTTGGCTCATATAATCGAGTTGTTGGGAGAAATACCGAGACGTATTGCTCTTTCGGGAAGAACTCAAAGATATACTTTAACAAAAAGGGTGAACTGAAGCATATTACTGGGTTGAAACCGTGGGGGCTATACGAAGTACTGACGGAGAAGTATGACTGGACGCCGAGCGAAGCGCGTGAGTTCGCAGAGTTCCTAACACCGATGCTCGAATTTAATCCGAGCATGCGAGCCACTGCAGCCGAGTGCCTGAAGCATCCGTGGCTGCAAATCAAAAAGTGATCGCGTTTTTTATTGTTTTATCTGTAATATTCTCACTCCGCTCCCTTGAATTTTCACCCCAGTCCCAGACCGCCCGGTTATCGCGATTGTAAATCGAGAGTGTGATAGGAAGCCGAAAATACTTGCGAACGTCAGGTGTGTTATTTCGCGTACTGAAAATTATTAATTCCGCGAGCCAATTTGCGTAAGAGCAAGTGCATCGTATCAAGAACGCGCACACAGACATACATACTCACACATACACATGTACACATTAGAAAACTGTTTGATATACGAATTACGGGAACGAATTGTATCATATGTTGTTATATTAATCATACGAATGTGTCTCCGTGTGAGGAAATGCTACGAAACCGAAAAAGTTTCAAGAAGATTGTTATATATCCTTTACAAAATGGTGATTTGACAATATCGCGAAAGTCGCCTCAAGGAAACAACTTTCGAACGTAAATGTAACGAGAGCGAAGTGTCGCAAAATCCGGAAATCATTGAAGAAGATCTTGCAACATTCCGCTGATTTCCATATATAAATAACGGCCGCGCGCGTGCTTCCTAATAAAACACTCTCAAACGTCATCGGCTGATCATTTGTGTGATTGTAATACACTTGTTACATCGTGTTTTTAATTAGTGATGAGAGAAAACTTAAATTAAAAAAATTTCATAGTATACTTTATATACATATTACTTTTCGTATTCTCGTGTCGCATTCTTCGTACTCGTCATTTAATTTATCTAATGAATATTCCAAGAATCGTGGGATCTACTCGTAATGCACTGTGCGAAAAGGGGCTTATTGGTGGACTCAATAACGTGTTCGGTTTAAAATTAGGACTCATCGCCTTGACTCAGTTATCTGTATATACTTTTATATATTACATACACCGGTCGCTGTAAATTCTTGCCAACAAACTTGTCGAGAAATCGTAACAGGACAGAAATGACTAATTAATATTTTATGTCTACCTCAATATACGTGAACCGGTTAGAAATACTCACAAACATACATATGCAACAAGAAACTGTTCACGTATAAATTGAAATAGATTGATTTATATATTGTAAAATAATTAAGAGTTGGTCACCAGATTCTTGGGATATTACAACTATTTTGGGCACTAATTGGAATAAGACAATATGTATGCACACTCATATTTTTATGATACATTTTCTAACCGTTTAGTTTATAAAATTCGCGATGTATATTAAACAATATTATTTTTATTTATCGACAAAAATATTAAAAATCAAATTTTTTTAGCAATAAGCATCAATAGGGCTGTGTGTCTAACATATATGTTACATAGTAATATTTATATACTTACTGTAAGCACAGCTTACATATATGTGGCAATAAAACTAACGTCATTATATGTATGTAGTATTTACGATTTACACGTGAAAGAAAATGCAATTTGTCTTGTTCCGTTGTGCCCTGCAATAACGATATACGATTTCTAATAAACATTTCTGTTATAAACTCGTTTATGTCGCTCCAATGCGAACACCATATACATAATGTACAACTACGAAAAAGAGTATCTATATCGCAGATAAGGTCTTGGTGAACACAATGAACGAGAAAAAGAAACGTTAATTTTTGTGCGAACCCCCTTACTACGTGAATATTGACTGACTACTGAAGCTCTCTGCCGATATAATAATTGTCTTCTATTTTATAAACGAGAAAGCGAAGCAGTACGTTCCACCGAACCCTTTGGGCGTCGCGCATACTTTCTTATGTCGACGAATTCAATTCATGCTTCCCGCAGAATGTTCTGTTTCGCTTCGCCTGCCAGTCTAAGGTCACATTTCATAGGAAAAAAAAAGAAAAAAAACAATCTTGAATTATGGAGATGCGTGCGTATGTGGAAATCGTCATAATGTATAAATATTTTGTCACTCACTGCAGTTACATATTTCTTCTCGGGTAAAAGAGGAAAATACTTCCGTGAAAATATATTATCTATTTTTTAACATTATGCATTTTTTATTTATTTTTTATTATTTTGGATTAGCACATTGATTGATGTTTCTTTATTATTTTATTATAAGCGGATGTATGAAATTTTTATGTAGACAAGGCGCAGTTTTTAATTTTAATTTATTAAAAATCAACGTATATTCTTATGAAAATTTGTTTACTGATTTTTATTATTCGAATTCAGCTGTTTATTGCTTAATTCGACAAGATCATTTCTTGCGATTTTAGGAGAAAAAAAATGTTTAAAGCAGGCACTTACGATATTCCTAAAATTTACAATATATATACATATATGCGAGAGATTCGATCAGAAAGTGCCTCTTCTACCCGCGTTAACAATTAATGTCGGATACAAAACGATGCGTTTATATCGCAATTTTATCCCGGCAATGCAAATCTAATGCATTTTAGTTCATAACATATTATTTATTACCATCCCTTCTTCCCGCAGTTTTCGTAGCAATTGCGTGGCTCGTTTGTAAATCTCATGTGGTCTTCGACGACGGCAATCGTGACAAATTTGTATATACATAGCTGAAAAACCTTAGCGGATAATATTCAAAATATGTGGCCAGTGAAGTTTGTTGTTCTAAGGAGGAAGGCAGCGATCACGTCGACTTAATGAGATTTTTCGTTAGTATTACTCATTATGTAATAGAGAAAATTTCTAATTAATATCGAGCTCCATTTTATTCTTCATTCCATAATGTTCATAAGATATATTTCGCGGTAAAATCTTCTAAAAAAATATAGACTTATCAAAATTCAAAAATTCGTTCGTCTCGTTGAAAATGAACTGACATAATTTTTAGTGAACTCACACACTTTTGCTGTAAGCACGCAGAGAAGACTATTATAAAACTAGAGCAGTTATAAACTCATAATTAATTGAAGGCATTCATAATAAGAGAAAGAAAGTTCAGTTTCGCTTAATTATTTCATTACAAAAAAAAGGCCGAAATTTTTATCTCAAGAACTGAAAAGAAAATTTTATGCGAATAAGGATTGTAAAAATAAAAATTTCATATTTTAGCACTATGTAATTCGGATTAAAAGAGATTACAGAGAAAAAGGATAGTAAAAATGCACACTTTCGTGAATCGATATATTATAAACAAAATTATTAATGCGAGTCTCATCATCTCGAGTTAATTAGTTATATTACCTCGACTTTGTTAGACGAGTCAATATAGGTATGAAAATCGCGCCGACTGTCATTAGGATCAATCGAAGCTCAATATAATACCATGTTGTCCGTGCGTCGTCGCATTTGGAGATGGTTCACATTGATCATAGATAACGTTTTATCACATATTAATATATCATATGTATCATACATATATATGTATATTAATATTTCTAGTGCTCTATAAATATAAATATAGATATATATATATATATATAGTAAAAACATGAATCTATTATAAAAACGATAACTTACGTAGGTAGGTGTGACTCGCTGCTTTGGCGTTAGGATATATATAGCTAGGAGAAAATTAACAAACAATAAGTAAACTGTGTATAGCTCTTGATGTACAAGATACCCGCTCCCCTTTACCCTTCTCTTCTGCATAATTTTATTTGTGCGAAGTAGATAGAAGAAAAGAAAAGATGAAGAAACGAAAAACGAAGATCCTCGAAGCGCTCCGTTTCTTTTTTTTTTTTTTTGCGATAAACAGATTTCTCGCATATAATTATATACAAAAAAAATATATATATATATATATATACATACAAATATTATATATATATTTATATATATAAATGTAAGATTCATGGGTGTGGACGATTAGGGATGCTGGTTGGATGAAAGGGGAAATGGTACATAATATATATATACAGGGACCCAATATTGAAATTTACCAGGGACTCATGTTCCAATCGGTAGATTCTAAACATTATTAATTCAAGCGAAACAAATCTCTGTTCAATTGAATATATTAATCGCACTGCGAAAATTTCGAGAGTGTGTTACACGAGATACACCAATATTTAATTATAATACTTTGAAATTAGAGCGACTATATATAATATTATACCCTCATTCGGCTCAGAAATCTACAGATCCTGCACAAGGATTGTGAAAGTAAAAAGTAATATACGTGTATTTGAAATAAGTTTCTTGACACTTTCTTTTTTTGCAGCCGGATGCTGCGATCAATTGCTATCCTATTTTTAAAAAAATTAATAATTGTCTGACGCTAAACGCACAGTGAAACTCCATTGTGTAAGTCGTTCCTAATTGATAATCATTCTGCACAATGTTAAAGTGTGAATATTAATTGAGTATGCGAAGAATGTGGCCTTGATCGAAGAGCAAAAATTCGATGTAAAAATTACGTGTGCTTTGTCGAAAAAATGGATATTGTGCGATCTCCTCTTTTAATCTTAAGAAATTGATTTTGCCGGGGATGTGATGTACAGGATGTCCCATAGGAAATTGCTGAAACTAATCAGCTGTCATTTTTTAATGCATGCAGTTATTAAAAAAACAAAAATTATGTTGAAAAGAAGAAAGTCTGCAGTTTTTAATGGATATAAATCAAATGTTTGTGTACCGATTTATTTTATTGAAAAAAAAAATAATGAGAAAAGTGCTATCTTTTTATCAATAAAATAAACTAGTATACAAACATTTTATTTATATTCATTAAAAACTACAGACTTTTCTCTTCCCAACATAACTAATTTTTATTTTCTCAATAACTGCAATGCATGCATTAAAAAGTGATAGCTGATTAGTTTCAATTTCCTATGAGATACCATGTAAGAAAGAAAAAAGACGACAGAGGCGGAAATCATTCGATATTCGACGAGAGAGAGAAAAAAAGCTTTGTTATCAAACACCAAGTTTTATTATATGTATTAAGCAACGCGCGCGCGAGATACTGTAAATATTGCGAGATACAAAAACCTGGCGCAGGGTTTAGCGCATTTTTAGAGAAAGAGCGTTCGCGTATTTAGGATTCTACCCGGAGGACTGGCAGAGACCCTTATTCTGAATGGATCTCTCACAGTGTAAAATGTACAGCGATTATATATCGGAATTATATATATATATATATATATATATATATATATATATATAATATGGATCACGCAGAAAGACGCATTGTATAAGTTAAGCGAGAAAGAGAGAGATGCGCTATATAAAGTCGGCATATGATAATATTATTATCTCCACTGATTGGTACATAGTCATACTGGTCTTGTAGCGTTTATAGAGAGCCATTTAACTCTGCATGCTTAACCAATTTTGTGCTCGCCGGTAAAAAAAAGTCCGTGAAAGGACCCTCCCCCGCGATATGGACACTTTTAATAAGGGTGTAAAAACTATCGATATAGAGATGAGAAATGCGCGTGTAGGCGCCTGCGATATGTGACACACGATCATCTTTATAGAAGTTCATCGAGCCGAAACGGGACATGCAAGTTAATAACGGATTAAACACCTGGCTGTTACAAGAAAAACGACTAGAGCATCGGGACAAGGAAAGCAAAGAAAGCAGGGCGTTTTGTTGTGCAAACACTCCTCCTCTTCTCTAGATAATCCCAGATTAGCGCGATAAAAATAATGCCCTTTGTCACCGATGCCGGCTGGGCGATCGAATCCACGAGAGGACCGGAGAGATGAAGTTCGCTTGATTGATCAATTAATTCGCCTGATCGCGCGTCGCACGAGTTGTTGCATACGTCTGTAAGATGCGAAGAAATAGAAGGCATCATTTGTGTCGCACGTGTCGTTAAATCTCCTATAATTGATAGGCGAATTAACTGAACTGATGTTAATTTATATGTTCGAAAAAATGGTTAAAGCGAGTATTTCTTTTTTTTTAATTACATGAAATTGTTCGATTTTGAAAATTGAAAAATTATGGAAACAATTCTTTTACCACTTTCAACTTATTTTTGTACAAAGAGAAGATTTACAATTTTATACCGCAAATTCTTATTGATATCTCTGCTATAATTTCTTTATCGGAATTTCTATATTTCCTTTTAATTATAAAAAGTTAATTTAATTATCAAATTATAAATATATATAATCGTATCATTGTATGATAAAATTTACGCGCTACTCAAGATGGGATGCTGCAGAAGAGGAAGTTTAAGAGAAAACATCGAATAAATAATATATTGTCTCCTGCTCCAGTCGCTCGATGTACGATCATATGCGAGGCGTTAAGAACTCTAGAAAATAATAAAATAGCGATAACGAATCGAACGAATAAATGGATTTGATGTTTAGACGCTGCCTCCGTTATGTGCCCTGCCGCAAAGAGTAAATTAACACAGACAACCATGTACACCCTCCCGAGAGAGATTGATATATATATAATAATGAGAAATAAATTCGCAACAAAAGAAATTGTTCTCTTTTCACTTATCATCTATCGTCGGAGGAAAAGAAGAAATAAATATAGAATGATATATCAATCACAATTACAGATTTTTTCTTTATTATGTATATCACAAAATTATATCACTTATCACATTTTATTGTCCCTGAATAAAATTACAGTCATTATAAAGTGCAGGGTACAATATATATTCGTATATTTTCAAATATATTTTTAAATATCGGATGAAAAAAAGTTAGAACTTCATAGAATTTGTCGCGCGTATATAACTATTAATACACTTGTCCGTTTCTGTCATCAGAATGTTTGCTGCCGAATGCAATATCAATTAATTAAATTTTATTTATTGTTTTAGAGTACAATATACTTGTGTTTGTATCTTTCGACAGTTGATTTCTAACTTACGAAACTTGTACGATGGGTTAACGTTCGGCCTCGAGAAAGCAAGATAAGATAGTCTTATATCCACCTACGAATATGATAACGAAACATACGCTCGCAAATATTTATGACACATAATACATATATTTTTTACCGTCGTAGGTATTTGATAACTAGAAAACAAATCTCTTTTCAATTTTAATTTGTTTTACTCATTATAATTTTAAATTACTTTCAACATTATTCGTACTTAGCAAGGCCAAACGTACAATTAATTATTTTACATTGTCCAAATATTATTATAATAATGCATAAAAAGGCATTTTTCTTTATATCGTAAATATACATTTTTGACAATTTTGTGAGAACAATAATAATTATTATAAATTATTATAAATTATTCAAATCAATTTGCTATAAATACTAATTGCTAATTATTTTTATCAAGTTTGATTAAATAACTCATCATCGTGACTTATTAAAAATCACAATGATTACATGACATGATTGAATCAAATAATACTAGATGTAATACAATATTAAACTACTGTTATTATATTTCTGTAACCAATTTTTTCGTTGCGTTTTTACTGAATATCATATACACATAATTATTTTAATGATTAAGAATAATTTTGAATATTAAACACACAACAAAATTAACAAGTAGAACAACCTGCTATTTGTACATATTTATATTATACCAATTAAAAATATATTAATACCAATTTATATTATATCAATTAAAATTATATTAATACCAATAAAAATATCAGATCGTATAAATAATATTTTCTCTCATCCATATTCAACAAATATATACATATAATTAAAAAATTATATATAATAAAACAAAATTAATACAAGTAAACATAATCCATAACATTAATGGGAACAAGATGGACTTTAATCAGACCAATCCTCCTCAGTTCTGCAAATTAATAATATTCTGTTAATATTTTAAGATCTTTCAGAAATTAATTTACTGCCCATCACCATCATCAAGCTGCTTTGAATAAAACAAGCATTAGACAATACATTGTTATAATAATAAGCAACAATATAATGGTGCTTATTATTATTACAGACACATATAAAGAAAAAACGAAAATGATAAAGAAGAATTATTAACATCTTAGAAGAATTTCACTCATATATCAATTGCATATAAATTATTGTGCAAAGTGATAATATCCTATAACTCTTTTGTCAATTTTCTATTTTTACATTTGTTCATTTAATTCTGTCCATCCACAAACTATAGAAATAATTATAACAAATTATATTGAATATATATATAAATATATATGATTTTATATTCTAAAATTTCATAATATAGAAATATATCAATGAAGCAGATTAGTAAGACATACAAGTTAATATTAAACCTATTTTAGATGATTTATAATTTGTCAGAATTCAATAAATCTATATGGTTTTAAGTGGTGTATATTTTAGTACATGTGTGTGTATCCTGGTATGTAATTTATATACATGTGCATTTTAATTTCTTCAAATATGTCATGCATATTACACAATACATAAAATTATAAATTCTGTCCATTTTATCAATTGTGATAAATCATCTAAAATAGGTTTTAGGCACAAACAGCGAATTAAGATAAAAAGATATTAAGTATTAATTTTAAATACAGAAAATTGTAAAAGTTCTCCCCTTAATTATTTAAGTGGGACAATATTGTTTTGCAACTTTAATCAAAATAATTTTTACTCTTTAAAAGAAAGATTTATGTTATATTAAAAATTCAATACTATTAATAAATACTATTAATATATGTATTATATATATATATATATATATATATATATATATATATATATATATATACACATACACACACACTAGAGATGTGCGAATTATTCGAATTCGAATCGAATCTGGCAATATTCGATTCAATTCAAATTCGAATCGACGTAGTTCGAAATCGAAAGATTCGATAACGTCGAATCACTGCAATTCGAATTCGAATCAAAGAACCGCGTAAGAGGACTTAAAACCCGTTTAATTCTATACGCGTTGATTCGATTCGAATTCGAAATATGGGTGATTCGATTCGATTCGGCGATATTTTTGTCGATTCGATTCGAGTTGTTTCTTGCAAATTCGATTCGATTCGATTCGAATTAGAAAATCTTGATTCACACATCTCTAACACACACACACACACATATGTATATATGTATGTATGTATATGTACACCATTTACAAACAATAGATTTAAAAGCACGTAACTCAGCACACTTACAGACATACATCACACATGAAAATTAAATACTTAATATAGACCCGTGCCTAGGACGCCCGTTCTTCTCCTTTCCATGTGGTTGCTCTTTGGCCGTTTTAGTAATATTCAGGTTCAATTGGGCGGTCGATGCCGTAGTGGCCTCGTCATCCGATTCTATTGGACTGATTCTGATAGCTTGGTACCATTGATTCGTCAAGTCTGTCATTTGCGACTTGCAGTCTTTCAACTCTTGTTGCGTAAATCGCCTTGTGAAGAACGGAATGAAAAATTTCAGATCCCATCTTGCAAAGCCACGAATCCGTGATTGTAGAAAAGATACTTCCATTTCTTCCTCTGTGAGTTCCGACAAGTGTTCGGAGTCTATAGTTTGTCCCTAAAAAAAAAAAAAAAAAAAAAAATGTATATCACTTATTATCTATGAAAAAATTTGGTATATAAATTTGTATATTTTTTTTTAATTACCCATTCTCTGGTTTTGCTCAATGAAACTTCCTTATCTTTCTTCTTTCTTCTGCTATTGCTTTTCTGTTTCTTTTCGGCCCTCAAGAATTTCAATAGAGGCATAGTAGAACCGCCGAATATTAACGTCGTAAACAATACGATTATGAGTGTCGTAGTTATAATAACATGGCGTGTTTCATCACTGAAATCTAAATGAAGCGATAATGCATATGATATAGCACCTCGCAGACCACTAAACCACATGATGAACATCATTTTCCTTGTAATTTGATGCTCGCGGAAACGATTAACAAGTAAGGCCAATGGAAAGATGTTGGCAGCTCTTCCAATCAGACACAAGATTAAGGACCAAACAACTAATGCTGGTTCAAACTGTAAAAAAAATGTTTTAACAAAAAAGTTAAAAACTTAATTGTACAATAAGCATACATATATGTATGATATACTTACCCTGTGTCTAAAACTAAACAACGCTAATCCCAAGTATGCAAAAACACAAGTTTCAGCTATAAAGGCTAGTGTTCGCATTGTTTGCTGCATTGTAATCTGCGTAACAGTTGACAAGTTAAAATGTGTATAATGTGACATGACTATTCCATTAAACAGAATTGCCATAATTCCTGTAATGATAATACAATATATTACAAATAATAACAATTGTACAATAAAAAGGTTCATTGTATATAAAAAATAAATGTTTATATACCTGACAATTGTATGCCTTCTGCTAAAACGTACGGGGCATATGTGAACACTAACATTATGCCAAACTCCAAAGACGGATTCTTCCTAAGATCTACATGTTTTAACAATAATGCACTTATTAAAGCGAAAACAACTCCGATTCCAGCTGATGCGAAGAACATGAGGCAAAATCGATTCAGGCAAAGTATTATAGCTTCGCTGGTCGTCGTCGCATTATTGGACTCCAAGACAGAAGTCGTCAGTACAATGGAAATAGCGTCGTTCAGAATCGATTCTCCAAAGACCAACATGTTCAAAACTGGATCTACATCAAGAGCATGAAAAATTGCAACCGTGGCGACAGGATCCACAGCAGATATCAGTGATCCAAATGCAAAACTCTCGACGAAGCTGAGCTTGTATGCTACTTGCGCCAGACCCAACAAATATATCCCAGCGCCGATGACGAACGCGGAGATAGCCGTTCCAAAAATGGCAAATACTAGAATACTGCCAATGTTTTGAAAAAAATTTCCCTTATGCAGATTGTACCCCGATTCGAATATAATGGGTGGAAGTAGAACCAGAAAGAACGCAGTCGGCGAGAAGGCCTCTTCCTTCCTCCAGTTGGCTATATTCTGGTGCGACATGAGATTGATTATCATGCCAATTGCAGCTCCCAAGAAGACAATCACCACCGATTCGGGAAGATACTGGAAATTGGTCTGCAGCATCAGATGTATCAACAATATTCCCAGCGCCAAGACACACAACACGAAGAAGATGGACATCGAGCTGTTGTGCTCCTCCTCGGCGGAACCTTTGTCAGGAAGAACCGGTTCTGCAGGAGCCACAGTGGTCGTGCTAGTGTTCGTTGTGTTGACAACATCTGGACTTTGCGATGGTATGGAGATGTCAGTTGCATTCTTATCATTGACTGGACCCGGCGACTCGGTACCGATCCTCTCCGTCGTCCGGTCGCCGATGACATTATTGTCGTCTGTCTGTACAGGCGTATTTATAGATGTGACAGGAGGAGACTTCACGGTGGAGGTCGAACTAGGGTTGCGACTATCGGTGACATTTGTACTGTTCGCCGGGCGCGCTGTGCTGGACGATTCTGTCGAGACATTTTTGACGTTTGACGTGACGTTTGACAAGACACCCGGGCTGTTCGTCACTGCAAACGCGGTCTTGTTACTGATGATGATATTCTCGTTTTTAAGGTTAGTCGTTTCTATCCCGTGCGACACATGTCGCGATACACTGCACAGTAGTAAGATTCCGATTACGAGGCTCAACTTGCGCAGAAATAGGAAATGTGCCTGAAATGCTCGCAACATCTTTCAACGACGAAGCATTATTTCAGCAGGTAGCAGAAGTCAAGTTTGCGATTTTCTTCGTCTTTTTGCGAGTACTACGTTGGAGCCCTAGGTCACGTGTCATGTGATGTCGCGAGAAATGACATTTGACTAGTGGATTGCGCATGATGTCAGGCCGGGTTTACAATAGGATACTTGACTGTGATTTACTTATTGTGGACCCGGCCTAAATATAAAGGCCAATAACAACAGCCAATCAGAAATGTCCACAAACGTCAAAATCTATCATAGTTGATAACAGATAAAATTAATTAATGAATTAATATTAGAAGAGACATATTGCACATTAATTCTATTGATCATATTTGTCAACGTAAAATTATATAAATAAAAATTAATTTACGCTGTTAAATATGGTCAATAGGATTAATGTGCACACACACAATACGCGTCTTCTAATATTAATACTCTCTAAATCTAATACTTTCGAAAATTTATTTTTCTAAATTATTAGGAGACTATTTTGCGAGAAAGTCGCAAATTTAGTTCACAAACGATAGGGGCTCTAGTTTTGATTAACATCGAAATATTGATTCATATGTATCAGCTTATATAAAAGTAAAAAGTTCCCCCAAGATCAATCGTTAAATAAAACTCGAAATCGAGAATACTTTAGAATAAAAATCTTTAGAAATATTATAATTTATTCTGTTTTTATATTATGTTTATGTTTTTAAATATTAAATTCATTTGTATATTCCCATGCTAGTCCAGTACGACCAATTTCTGCTGGTTGCACAGGATCTTCACCTAATCTTTGTTCCACACCCTTCCAGGATCTCTCTTGTAAATATTGAGCTCCAGCTTTACCAATGGCAATAGTACCTAATAAAAGAATTGTTGTTATTCATTGTAATATAGTTATAAAATAATCAAAATTTGTTAAACTACTTGCATAAAAATAAGAAAATGTAAAATATTAGTTGTAAAAAAAAAGATATCGGATATGTATCTACCTGATGAATGAATCGTCAGAGCATTCATTTGGTCTGTACATGAAGTATCATCCTCACAGTTTCTAACACTACTACTAATAAGAGAAACATCTGAATCAGATGATGGTATAAAACTGACATAGTGAGAGCCTCCTGGTAATATCTGTCGAAAGTCCATAAAATATTGTAGGCAAAATTCTCTTGCACTATTAAACGCTAATTCAACTTCGTATGGCGTAAGTATAGGTTTTAAAAAATCTCTTGAGTCAAATACTTCATTCTCTGGACAAGTTATTACAACAAAAGCGTCAATCTGTAATAAAAATCGAAAATATATATTAATATAATTCTATAAAGGGGAACATCAAGTTAAATATTTCTTTTTTACTGTATTATATAATTTGACATACCTCTGGGAAATTTGCAAGTTTAGCAGGATTAATTTTTCCTACATTAAGAATATAAGATTTCTTATTTTTTGCTTTAAGAATCTTTTTCACTGTGCTTATAGCTGTTAGATATTCTTTAATGCCTAATGTAGCTACTACAATTCCCACAACTTTGGCGTCTTTTAGCTTTTCTATTAAAAATCTCCTTCGTCTTAGCCAGGGTGTGTTTAATGCTTCAAATTCGTGAATCTTACTATTTGCAAAAGAATACCATCTTTTGACATGTATACTCATTGCTAATATTGAGAAAGTTTTTCCTTCCTCTCCCCAAAAAAATCCTTCATAATCTTGAATATTATATCCATTTTCCAATATATAATTTCTGCCTAAGACAGTTGAGCCACTGATTATTTTTGTATCAGTATATTCCACGTTTGATGTGCAATTTAATTTAGATAAGATTAAATGTTTATACATAGGTTTCAATATATCATATACATGCTCTGTAAAATTAATATAAATTAATATAAATTAATACTTACAAAAACAATTTTTTCTTTTTTAATATCTTAAACATTTACCAATTTTATGCGCGTATGCCACATCATAGAAGAATAAAATTTTTTTGAACAATCTGAGAAGATGCGTTTGAATTCATTACTGAGTTCCGTCGTATCAAATTGCTTTTTTGGCAAAATGTGCAAAACTGGTAGACGAGCAGTAGGATTAAGGCAGGCATGTCCAAAATGTATTATACCATCTGCATTAATGTGTTGAGCTGCTATTTCATCAACACAACAGCTACCACAAGTTGTATCTCCTAAGATATATACTTTCTGTCCTATACTTTTTTCCAAATGTAGTGCAACTTCTATAGACTCTGGTAATAAACTATCAGGAAATTGAAGACATACCTGTAAAATAATTATAACTCCATATAAATATTAATCTAATAATAGATTAATTTAGATATATTTAGTCTTCTACTATTTTTAATAAGAATTATAACTGCTCTCATATAGAATACAGATATATAAATGCACATAAAGTTAAACTAACCTAATTTTATCTGTCATACACAATATTAAAAAAAATTAATTATACTAAATCGTTTGTAAATAGTTTATTTAAAATTAATTTTTTGTTTGTAATGGATTAAATAACTAAATATCTTCTAAGGAAAAAAGAAAGACTAATTAGCACATATCACTGACATGTAACCTCAATTTTTACATTTAAAAAAAGAGGATTTTCATCTATAAAAAACTGAACTTTCAAAAAAAAGTTTTAATTATGATTTTATTAATATATGTATGAGATATTTCAAAAAATGTATACGCTTTCAAACCTGTTTGAGTGTATTTGTTTGGATCCACCGAGCACACTTTTCTATATCATATGTAAAATACACAGACTCCATCTTGAAACGTGAGAGCCGTTTTACCGCCGCTGCTTGGCAGTCACGTGACAAGAACTGTGATTGTCACGTGATTCTCCAATTTTTTTTGGCGCGATATTAAAAATTTTACAAATATATGCCTAGAAATAAATATATTTTATATTATATGTGTTATTATGTATATAATATATAATAAATAAATAAAAATTATATTTTTTTTATTAATTTAAAATGTAATATTTAATATAAAATTTTATTTCATATTTATATATTGAAAAGAAATTAAACGTATCAAAATTATATTAATTTTGTTTCTTGACTTTTAGGTACTGCTGTTATTTTTCATATTAAAAACCGAGTATTAGTCTAATAAAGAATTAAAAAAATATTTATAAAAAATAAAATAGTTCACTTTCTATACAAATATGATGCAAGAAATTTTATCAATTTTAAAAAGTTATAAACTTTTAAAAATAGTCTTCTCTTGTAAGATACGAAATTATATATGCTTAATATGTTACATAAAAATAATGATATTCTTTTTGGGTATACTGATACAATTAAAGTAAAATCATTTAAATTATATTTATATATATTATCACTGTACCATTTGTCTTCACTCTCGTCAGCGATTGTATTGTTACATCTCGTTGTTAATGCTTAATAATTGCAGCTTGCAAAATATGTGATATTCGCTTAAACGCAGCACACAGATAGGGATATAAGATAATCTATACGTACTCGTGAAATATCGGCAATTTATTAGGATCAAAAGAACTTTTTAGTATATATCCAAACTTTTAAATCTGTGAAGAATTCTTATTAAGTCACGATTGCCGTCGAGAGTGTAATTGAACATTATGTATGTACAAACGATTATTATTTCTTAGTGTAATACATTACATAGTTTTGCTTGTTTTTTTCTGTATATACGTCAGTCTTGGATTGCTTTTGCCAGAAAACGCTTCATTTCCACTGTGCAGAGTCGTTCTTGCTATGTAGAAAAAGAATACGCAAACGCGCAAAGTTATCATAATAAAATTAATAAAATTCTGCAGAAACTATTATTACCGCGTTTTCTAGTATTGTAAAAATATTTCTTCAAAATTGAAATAATTTCAGATCTCAATTTTCTCATCATTTTAGGACATATACAATACCCTCCATAAGTGTGAAAACACCTTACATTTTACAGTTAAACAATCGCATGACAGCGATCTGTGCTGATTTTTCGTGTAAATATTATTAAAATAATATTTTATTATATTACATTATTAAAAAATAATTATATTATTAATTATATAATGTTTATTATATTAATTGTATATAATAATATTTATATTATATTATTAAAATAATATTTAAATAATTTATTTATTAAAAAAATATAAGGTGTTTTCAAACTTGTGGAGGGTATACTGTATGTATAAATCTTGCGCACTTATTACGTCGTTATATAAAATAAAAAAACATTGGTACAGGAATGTTTGTCGTTAATGAATTTCGGGATAATTACAGACTCTTAAAGATTTCAACGATTATTACGTGATTATTCTTTTTCTACACACATGCACTCTCTAGTAGGCTGGGCGCATACTCGATTTTACATCGACTAAACTGTTTGGCCGAAGAACTCGCGCATATTACATATTAATCGATGGACAGACAGTCGATTAACATAATATAATATTTATGTATAATAAATATATAATACATATATATTAATACTTGACATTTGTCAAGCTGCCTTTTGACTTTTCGAGTCGAGTCGATATCAAGTCGATAGGTGCCCAGCCTAATGTACATCCATCAATTACTCACATATGTATTGTGAGCTTGTATGTGATGTCAAAAAAGAAAAAGAAGTCGTGAAATACTATACACTATTTAGAAACGGTTTGTTTCTTTGATTTTGCGTCATAACATTGAGACTGTATATATATCATAAACAGAAATGAATCTAAAGTAATATCCGTAAAAGTTGTGTATGTTCCCTTTTCTTCTACATATACAATTTGTTATTGGTGATACAAACACAATATTTTGAAGGAAAAAGGTATATCTATATACAACAAAATAAATTAAATATACGAAGAAATAAAAATATTTCATTAAAAATATTGTATTCTACATTTTTAATTCAAGACACCTTGAAAAAATAAAACCTAACATAAATTAATTTTATTCAACGCTTTTAACATTTTCATTCTTTATAGAATCATCATTCTACCTTCCCTTTTTTCCCGATTGTATCATCGATAACATCTTGTTTCGAATATATTTGCATTTCATATTTTTATGATTTTATATATCAGTCTCTTATGCTCTTTTCGCTTCTCTCATATGCTCACCGTCGAGTCCAATGATGATGCGTTGTTAATAGTAATAATAATAATTCTGAGAATAAATCTCAATAACAATAATACAAATAATAGTCACAATAATAATATTAATAATATACCTTAAAAATATGTATGTACAATATTCACCGACCCATTTTAAGTATCAATAAGATTCTTTTACAAGTACTACTGATAAAGTGGAATAAGTTGCGCTTTAAATAATTACTTTTTACAAAATTACATTACAAAGTGGCATATTGTAAAATCTGAGCGAGTCATCTATCTAATCTATTCACATGTACAGCTGCTGCTATAATTAGATTTACGCGGTGGCTTTATTACAGCTAGACTACTGGAAAGTATACATGTTTGTATATTATGAATAATTATTGCCATTGCAAAACAGAATCTTTGATAAACTAAAATGTTCAATATACATAAATGTAGATATATATCTCATACTTCACCACATGTATATATAATCCAGTTTGTCTCTGCTGAATAATATATAAATAAAATAAAATATAAAGTCACATATTTATACAAATAATTTAACTATCTGTGTACGTGTGTATGTGTGCATGCGCGCACGCTTCAGGATATGCAGTATTGGAAACAAGTATCCTGAAGATTATCAGCGATCTTAAAACACAGTTCTCATGACAGATAGATCCACGATATCGACATGAAAAAAAAAAAACTATAACAAAATCGACTTACAGTTCCTCTAGAATTCTTAAGACGCGTAATTTTAGCTTGATATTCACTATAAACTTTCACTTCTTAACATACTTTACTAAAGGAGGGTCACGAGCCTAAAATGCTGCGGACTGCTTGATCCAACGCAGTGTCCTTCGAGTCGCCAGACTGCGACGACGAACTACTACCGCTACTACTGCCGGATAATGTATTCGCAGGACGTTTCTTAAGATTGAGAATGCTGTCAATGGCAGATTGTACTTGCGCGGTGATCTCGTCGTGCTCGTTGCCGGCATTAGCATTCTCGCTACTACTCGTTACATGTACAGTACTACTTGGACATTGTGTCTGCGAATGCAAAGCTAATCCGTCCAAGCTGTCAGCATCCTCTAACAAATCTCGCTCGAGATCAGTGGCAGTACTCCAACGCCTGTCGAAAGGCGTTGGAGTAACATCTTGCTCACAATCGTCCTTCATGATATTCGAGACATTAGGTACATTCGCACGAAGACACTCGCCGTTCGCTCGTGTTCTTTCAACTTTCGATGATCTCGTGACAGTCATGACAGCACTATTATTACCACCACTACCGTTATTACTGTTTTTACACCTCGGGGTGTCTGTAGTGGGCGGAAATACTCCCAGTTCTTTCTGGATTTCCAGCCACTCATCGTAATCACCACTAGTACTGCTTGTCGTCTTGATAACTGGTTTACATTCGATTTCATCACTCGGGAAGTCATCCTCCAGTTCGCGTTTTACAGATACGTTCACCAGAGGTGGTGATGTTGTTAACGTAGATTTGTCCTCCTCTATAAGGCCAGGTTCTACTTTTGGCACCAATGGTTTTTCTTCTTTCTTGAATTCTTCTACAATTTTATTTGCATTACATGTATATATATTGCAATACATAAAAGATGTTAAAAACACATTTTTTAAATAAGAGAAAACAAAGAGAAAGAAAAAAAGTAGTTAATAACAGAAAAAGTATGATGTGGATGCATGTATGTAGTTTTGAATGTATATGTTTGATGTAAAATATGTAAAAATGTAACAAATTGAAAAATTTTGTAATCCCTTATAATTATATATATATATTTGATCTTATAATTATGTTAATTTAGAGATAATATAAAATATATAATTACCATTAACTTTTGCTTCCTGTTCTCGTAACCTGTTGAGAATATTTTGTTCCTCAGCCACAAAAGTCCTGTCAATCATCATCAATTCTGATGTCCTCACTTCACGCTATAATTACAAAAATTTTAGTTTTCAATCATTATTCGAAAAGAAATATTTAAAATATTTTTTGAATATATTAAGAATTGAATAATAATTGATATAAACAGTTTAAATATTTTAATTGTCAAGTTGTAACATTTTAGTTCATAATTAATGTGCAAAAAATAACTAAAATTTGTATTTGTAAAAATAATTAAAATTTGTATTAGAATGAATTTAACACACATAATTATTTAGTTAAATTATTAAAATAAATTATATTATCCATACCATGCTTTCCATTAAAAGGAGGTATGTGTATTTATTCATCATAGCGCTGAATTTGCCCAATAGATGTTTTGCAGTCTCCTCAAATCTTTCATCTGCTTTTTCTAAATCCTTGGGACTTAGTACTTGCTCATTTAAACAGTGATATCTCACTAAACGTTTGCAAGCGTCAAGCTTGCCTGCGAATGGTGTATTCATATCCGGATTAGTCGCACCATTTTGATCGATTTTTAACTGTTGTTCCATTCTGCAAATAATAACACAATTAAATATATCAATATCATTACAAATTTTAAAAACAAATAATTTATTAAATATAACAGAAGTTTATAAATACGTACAAATCGTTGCGATTTAACTGCCTACAAATTGGACTGTTCGCCCGCCTCTTTACGCCTTGTCTTGGGCTTATTAAAGGACTGGAGTTACTGTTAGGACTGACGAGTTGCTTCGTCGTATTTCCACCAGTGTTTACAGGACTCTGAATCCTCTGTGTGCCCTTGCCCAT